TTTTTTTTTTTGTTCCTGCACCCCGCCCCCCCCCCCCCCCCCCCCAGTGCTTACATCAGGAGTGGACGTTACAGCAGCTAACTAGATCTACTCGGAGTGCCTGAGTTACTGTTGCTTGTGTTATCAGAGCCTTATGGAGAACAGCATTTGCCCTATTGCAATAACCAAAAGAGGTTTATACGTTACCCGACCACCACGTTTTGCTGTTTGGTGATAAAATTTTACTAATATCTTAAAAATAATACCAGTTTCTGTAGATATTATTGCTCCCAATAAAACTGGCTGCTCTCACGTGTCTGCCAAATTATCGTAGAACTGATTTATTGTTCGAGCACTGTGCTAACTGGTTCTCACTTCCTAGGACAAACACAATATTCCTGAAGGTCTATTGCTGGCCTGTGCTTACAGCTACTGAATTTTATGTGGCAAGCTGCCTTTTTTTTTTTTTTTAACCTAACTAACAATTTAAAAATGAAATTACTTTGGTACATCTGAAATTACCTGTTCAAATACTCAAAATTTGCATTTGCTAAAGTTTTATTTCTAAACATTTAGTATTTTACGTACAGTTTTTAAATTAGTCTGGGAGGGTAGTTCAGATGCATTGTGGTGCTCAACATGAGAAAGCCTCTGCCAGAATACAGTACTTGAGCTTTAGGCACTTCAAGGAAGATACTGACACCTGAAGGAGCCAGAGGGCAGCAAGGTGATAAATATCTAAAAAATGTTACTTTTTACAGAAGGCTAGGACAGGACAATGCCCTCAGGGTTTGTCATATGTCAGGGAGCCAGACAACACCCCCCCCCAGGAACTGCATCAGGACCAACAATTTGTTTAAAGAGGAAGCGACGGATCCTCTCTGCTAGCCCCTCTCCAACAGCATGTTTGTTGTGGAGCACTCCGCATTTGTCTTTCTGAAGGAGAAAGCTAGCGTGCAGCACTCGGAAACGCCATCTGTTCCCACAGCTTCCCAGAGGTTAATTTCAGACCAAAGACTGCCCGTTGCCCTCCTCCATCCTTTCCCCCAGGACCTGCTCAGGGGGCTCTGGGCACGCAGGCAGGGCGCAGCGCTGCGAGCTCAACCACCGACCCGCAGCCCAGCGGGGCAGCAGCGGCTGCTCTCCTCGCCGGTAGGACGGGGAACCGGCCGTTTCCCCCGCACAGGGGTCCAGCGCTTCCAGCCCGCCCGGCGGAGAGCAGTCACCGAGCCCAGGCAGGGCCCCGCTGGGCCCCGGGGCCGGCGGCTCCGTCCGTCCCTCGGCCCCGGCTGAAGCAGTGCCGAGCGGCGGCCTTCCTTCCCCAGCAGCCGCCTCGGCGTGACGGAGAAGGCCCCGGGGGCGGCGGCGGCCGCGGGCGTCGGGCCGGCCCCGAGGCGACA